AGTATCATCATCATCAGTATCATCATCATCATCAGTATCATCATCATCATCAGTATCATCATCATCATCAGTATCATCATCATCAGTATCATCATCATCAGTATCATCATCATCAGTATCATCATCATCAGTAGTAGTATCATCATCATCAGTATCATCATCATCATCAGTATCATCATCATCATCATCAGTATCATCATCATCAGTATCATCATCATCATCAGTATCATCATCATCAGTATCATCATCAGTAGTAGTATCATCATCATTATCAGTATCATCATCAGTAGTATCATCATCAGTAGTAGTATCATCATCAGTAGTATCATCATCAGTAGTATCATCATCAGTAGTAGTATCATCATCATCAGTAGTATCATCATCATCAGTAGTAGTATCATCATCATCATCAGTAGTAGTATCATCATCAGTAGTATCATCATCATCATCAGTAGTAGTATCATCATCACTAGTATCATCATCATCAGTAGTAGTATCATCATCATCAGTAGTAGTATCATCATCATCAGTAGTAGTATCATCATCATCAGTAGTAGTATCATCATCAGTAGTAGTATCATCATCATCAGTAGTAGTATCATCATCAGTAGTAGTATCATTATCATCAGTATCATCATCATCATCATCAGTAGTAGTATCACCATCAGTAGTAGTATCATCATCATCATCATCAGTAGTAGTATCATCATCAGTAGTAGTATCATCATCAGTATCATCATCATCAGTAGTAGTATCATCATCAGTAGTAGTATCATCATCATCAGTAGTAGTATCATCATCATCAGTAGTAGTATCATCATCATCATCAGTATCATCATCATCAGTAGTAGTATCATCATCATCAGTATCATCATCATCAGTAGTAGTATCATCATCATCGGTAATAGTATCATCATCATCAGTATCATCATCAGTATCATCATCATCATCAGTATCATCATCATCATCATCAGTATCATCATCATCATCAGTATCATCATCAGTATCATCATCATCAGTATCATCATCATCAGTAGTAGTATCATCATCAGTAGTAGTATCATCATCAGTAGTATCATCATCATCATCAGTAGTAGTATCATCATCATCAATAGTAGTATCATCATCAGAAGTATCATCATCAGTAGTAGAATCGTCATCAGTATTAGTATCATCATCAGTAGTAGAATCGTCATCAGTAGTAGTATCATCATCAGTAGTAGTATCATCATCATCATCAGTAGTAGTATCATCAGTATCATCATCAGTATCATCATCATGATCATCAGCAGTAGTATCATCATCATCAGTAGTATCATCATCATCAGTAGTATCATCATCAGTAGTAGTATCATCATCAGTAGTAGTATCAGCACTGTGTGGGTGGGTGAGTGGGTGGGTGGGTGAGTGGGTGGGTGGGTGAGTGAGTGAGTGGTGAGTGAGTCGGTGGGTGAGTGAGTGAGTGGGTGAGTGAGTGAGTGGTGAGTGAGTGGGTGAGTCAGTGAGTGAGTGGTGAGTGAGTGAGTGGGTGAGTGAGTGGGTGAGTGAGTGGGTGAGTGGGTGAGTGAGTGGGTGAGTGAGTGGTGAGTGAGTGGTGAGTGAGTGGGTGGTGAGTGAGTGGGTGAGTGGGTGGGTGGGTGAGTGAGTGGTGAGTGAGTGGGTGGGTGAGTGAGTGAGTGGGTGAGTGAGTGAGTGGTGAGTGAGTGGGTGAGTCAGTGAGTGAGTGGTGAGTGAGTGAGTGGGTGAGTGAGTGGGTGAGTGAGTGGGTGAGTGGGTGAGTGAGTGGGTGAGTGAGTGGTGAGTGAGTGGTGAGTGAGTGGTGAGTGATTGGTGAGTGAGTGAGTGAGTGGTGAGTGGTGAGTGAGTGGTGAGTGAGTGGTAGGTGAGTGAGTGAGTGAGTGGTGAGTGAGTGGTGAGTGAGTGAGTGGTGAGTGAGTGAGTGGTGAGTGGTGAGTGAGTGAGTGAGTGGTGAGTGAGTGGTGAGTGAGTGGTGAGTGAGTGGGTGAGTCAGTGAGTGAGTGGTGAGTGAGTGGGTGAGTGAGTGAGTGGGTGAGTGAGTGAGTGGTGAGTGAGTGGTGAGTGAGTGGTGAGTGAGTGAGTGGTGAGTGAGTGGTGAGTGAGTGGTGAGTGGTGAGTGAGTGGTGAGTGGTGAGTGAGTGGTGAGTGAGTGGTGAGTGAGTGAGTGGTGAGTGAGTGGTGAGTGAGTGGTGAGTGGTGAGTGAGTGGTGAGTGGTTACCTGCTGTCGACAGATGGGGCAAGTAACCCGTCCCAGCCAGGACCCGTGATGCCAGTAACTCACCAAACACTCACCTAGAAACACACCACTCACTCACCACTCACTCACCACTCACTCACCACTCACTCACCACTCACCCACTCACTCACCACTCACTCACCACTCACTCACCACTCACCACTCACTCACCACTCACTCACCACTCACCACTCACTCACCCACTCACTCACCACTCACTCACCACTCACTCACCACTCACTCACCACTCACCACTCACTCACCCACTCACTCACCACTCACTCACCACTCACTCACCACTCACCACTCACTCACCACTCACTCACCACTCACCACTCACTCACCCACTCACTCACCACTCACTCACCACTCACTCACCTAGAAACACACCACTCACTCACCACTCACTCACCACTCACTCACCACTCACCACTCACTCACCCACTCACTCACCACTCACTCACCACTCACTCACCACTCACCACTCACTCACCCACTCACTCACCACTCACTCACCACTCACTCACCACTCACTCACCACTCACCACTCACTCACCCACTCACTCACCACTCACTCACCACTCACTCACCTAGAAACACACCACTCACTCACCACTCACTCACCACTCACTCACCACTCACCCACCACTCACTCACCACTCACTCACCACTCACTCACTCACCACTCACTCACCACTCACTCACTCACCACTCACTCACCACTCACTCACCACTCACCACTCACTCACCCACTCACTCACCACTCACTCACCACTCACTCACCACTCACCACTCACTCACCCACTCACTCACCACTCACTCACCACTCACTCACCACTCACCACTCACTCACCACTCACTCACCACTCACCACTCACTCACCACTCACTCACCACTCACTCACTCACCTAGAAACACACCACTCACTCACCACTCACTCACCACTCACTCACCACTCACTCACCACTCACCCACCACTCACTCACCACTCACTCACCACTCACTCACCACTCACTCACTCACTCACCACTCACTCACCACTCACTCACTCACCACTCACTCACCACTCACTCACCACTCACTCACCACTCACCACTCACTCACCCACTCACTCACCACTCACTCACCACTCACTCACCACTCACCACTCACTCACCCACTCACTCACCACTCACTCACCACTCACTCACCACTCACCACTCACTCACCACTCACCACTCACTCACCCACTCACTCACCACTCACTCACCACTCACTCACCTAGAAACACACCACTCACTCACCACTCACTCACCACTCACTCACCACTCACTCACCACTCACTCACTCACCACTCACTCACCACTCACTCACTCACCACTCACTCACCACTCACTCACCACTCACCACTCAATCACCACTCACTCACCACTCACTCACTCACCACTCACTCACCACTCACTCACCACTCACCCACCACTCACTCACCACTCACTCACCACTCACTCACCACTCACCCACCACTCACTCACCACTCACTCACCACTCACTCACTCACCACTCACTCACTCACCACTCACTCACTCACCACTCACCACTCACTCACCACTCACTGACCACTCACTCACTCACCACTCACTCACCACTCACTCACCCACCCACTCACTCACCCACTCACTCACCACTCACTCACCACTCACTCACCACTCACTCACCACTCACCCACCGCTCACCCACCGCTCACCCACCACTCACTCACCACTCACTCACCACTCACTCACTCACCACTCACTCACCACTCACTCACCACTCACCACTCACTCACCCACTCACTCACCACTCACTCACCACTCACTCACCACTCACCACTCACTCACCCACTCACTCACCACTCACTCACCACTCACTCACCACTCACCACTCACTCACCACTCACTCACCACTCACCACTCACTCACCCACTCACTCACCACTCACTCACCACTCACTCACCACTCACTCACCTAGAAACACACCACTCACTCACCACTCACTCACCACTCACTCACCACTCACTCACTCACCACTCACTCACCACTCACTCACTCACCACTCACTCACCACTCACTCACCACTCACCACTCACTCACCACTCACTCACCACTCAATCACCACTCACTCACCACTCACTCACTCACCACTCACTCACCACTCACTCACCACTCACCCACCACTCACTCACCACTCACCCACCACTCACTCACCACTCACTCACCACTCACTCACCACTCACTCACTCACCACTCACTCACCACTCACTCACCACTCACCCACCACTCACTCACCACTCACCCACCACTCACCCACCACTCACTCACCACTCACTCACCACTCACTCACCACTCACTCACTCACCACTCACTCACCACTCACTCACTCACCACTCACTCACTCACCACTCACCACTCACTCACCACTCACTCACCACTCACTCACTCACCACTCACTCACCACTCACTCACCCACCCACTCACTCACCCACTCACTCACCACTCACTCACCACTCACTCACCACTCACTCACCACTCACCCACCGCTCACCCACCACTCACTCACCACTCACTCACCACTCACTCACCACTCACTCACTCACCACTCACTCACCACTCACTCACCACTCACTCACTCACCACTCACTCACCACTCACTCACCACTCACTCACTCACCACTCACTCACTCACCACTCACCACTCACTCACCACTCACTCACCACTCACCCACCACTCACTCACCACTCACTCACTCACCACTCACTCACCAATCACTCACTACTCACTCACTCACCACTCACTCACCACTCACTCACTCACCACTCACTCACCACTCACTCACTCACTCACCCACTCACCACTCACTCACTCACCACTCACTCACCACTCACTCACCACTCACTCACTCACCACTCACTCACCACTCACTCACCACTCACCCACCACTCACTCACCACTCACTCACTCACTCACCCACTCACTCACTCACCACTCACTCACTCACCACTCACTCACCACTCACCCACCACTCACTCACCACTCACTCACTCACTCACTCACCACTCACTCACCAATCACTCACCACTCACTCACTCACCACTCACTCACCACTCACTCACTCACCACTCACTCACCACTCACTCACTCACTCACCACTCACTCACTCACCACTCACTCACTCACTCACTCACTCACTCACCACTCACTCACCACTCACTCACCACTCACTCACTCACTCACCACTCACTCACCACTCACTCACCACTCACCCACCACTCACTCACCACTCACTCACTCACCCACTCACTCACCACTCACTCACTCACCACTCACTCACCAATCACTCACCACTCACTCACTCACCACTCACTCACCAATCACTCACCACTCACTCACTCACCACTCACTCACCACTCACCACTCACTCACCACTCACTCACCACTCACTCACTCACTCACCACTCACTCACTCACTCACCCACTCACCACTCACTCACTCACCACTCACTCACCACTCACTCACCACTCACTCACTCACTCACCACTCACTCACCACTCACTCACCACTCACCACTCACTCACCACTCACTCACTCACCACTCACTCACCACTCACTCACTCACTCACCACTCACTCACCACTCACCACTCACTCACCACTCACTCACCACTCACTCACCACTCACCCACCACTCACTCACCACTCACTCACTCACCCACTCACTCACCACTCACTCACTCACCACTCACTCACCACTCACCCACCACTCACTCACCAATCACTCACTCACCACTCACTCACCAATCACTCACCACTCACTCACTCACCACTCACTCACCAATCACTCACTCACCACTCACTCACCACTCACTCACCACTCACTCACTCACCACTCACTCACCACTCACTCACTCACTCACCACTCACTCACTCACTCACCCACTCACCACTCACCCACTCACCACTCACTCACTCACCACTCACTCACCACTCACTCACCACTCACTCACTCACTCACCACTCACTCACCACTCACTCACCACTCACTCACTCACTCACCACTCACTCACCACTCACTCACCACTCACTCACTCACTCACCACTCACTCACCACTCACTCACTCACTCACCACTCACTCACCACTCACTCACCACTCACTCACTCACTCACCACTCACTCACTCACCACTCACTCACCACTCACTCACTCACTCACCACTCACTCACCACTCACTCACTCACTCACCACTCACTCACTCACCACTCACTCACCACTCACTCACTCACTCACCACTCACTCACCACTCACTCACCACTCACTCACTCACTCACCACTCACTCACTCACTCACCACTCACTCACCCACTCACTCACCACTCACTCACCACTCACTCACCACTCACCACTCACCACTCACTCACTCACCCACTCACTCACTCACCACTCACTCACTCACCACTCACTCACCACTCACTCACTCACCACTCACTCACCACTCACTCACTCACCACTCACTCACCACTCACTCACCACTCACCACTCACTCACCACTCACTCACCACTCACTCACTCACCACTCACTCACCACTCACTCACCACTCACTCACCACTCACTCACCACTCACTCACCCACTCACTCACCACTCACTCACCACTCACTCACTCACCCACTGACTCACTCACCACTCACTCACTCACTCACCCACTCACTCACTCACCACTCACTCACTCACCACTCACTCACCACTCACTCACTCACTCACCACTCACTCACCACTCATTCACCACTCACTCACCACTCACCACTCACTCACCACTCACTCACCACTCACTCACTCACCACTCACTCACCACTCACTCACCACTCACTCACCACTCACTCACCACTCACTCACCCACTCACTCACCACTCACTCACCACTCACTCACCACTCACTCACTCACCACTCACTCACTCACCACTCACCACTCACTCACCACTCACTCACCACTCACTCACTCACTCACCACTCACTCACCACTCACTCACCACTCACTCACTCGCTCACCACTCACTCAGTAGTGATAGTGATGGTGGTGATGGTGGTGGTGGTGATGGTGATGGTGGTGGTGATGGTGGTGGTGGTGGTGATGGTGGTGATGATGGTGGTGATGGTGATGATGGTGGTGGTGATGGTGGTGATGGTGGTGGTGATGGTGGTGGTGATGGTGGTGATGGTGGTGATGGTGGTGGTGATGGTGGTGGTGATGGTGGTGATGGTGGTGGTGATGGTGGTGGTGGTGATGGTGGTGATGGTGGTGGTGATGGTGGTGATGGTGGTGATGGTGGTGGTGATGGTGGTGGTGATGGTGGTGGTGATGGTGATAGTGATAATGATAGTGATGATGATGGTAGTGATGGTAATGATGATGATAATGATAGTGATGATGATGGTAGTGATAGTGATGATGATGATGATGATAATGATAGTGATGATGATGGTAGTGATAGTGATGATGATGGTGATGATAGTAGTGATAGTGATAATGATAGTGATGATAGTGATAGTGATGATAGTGATGATGATGGTGATGATGGTGATAGTGATGATGATGGTAGTGATAGTGATAATGATAGTGATGATGATAGTGATAGTGATGATAGTGATAGTGATGGTAGTGATAATGATAATAGTGATAGTGGTGATGATAGTGATAATGATAATGATAGTGATGATAGTGATAGTGATGGTAGTGATAATGATAATGATGATAGTGATAGTGATGGTAGTGATAATGATAATAGTGATAGTGGTGATGATAGTGATAATGATAATGATAGTGATGATAGTGATAGTGATGGTAGTGATAATGATGATAGTGATAGTGGTGATGATAGTGATAATGATAGTGATGATAGTGATAGTGATGGTAGTGATAATGATGATAGTGATAGTGGTGATGATAGTGATAATGATAGTGATAGTGATGATAGTGATGGTGATGACAGTGATAATGATAGTGATGATAGTGATAGTGGTGATGATAGTGATAATGATAGTGATGATAGTGATAGTGATGGTGGTGATGATAGTGATGATAGTGATAGTGATGATAGTGATGGTGATGATGATAGTGATAGTGATAGTGGTGATGAAAGTGATAATGATAGTGATGATAGTGATAGTGGTGATGATAGTGATAATGATAGTGATGATAGTGATAGTGGTGATGATAGTGATAATGATAGTGATGATAGTGATAGTGATAGTGGTGATGAAAGTGATAATGATAGTGATGATAGTGATAGTGGTGATGATAGTGATAATGATAGTGATGATAGTGATAGTGGTGATGATAGTGATAATGATAGTGATGATAGTGATAGTGATGATGATAGTGATAATGATAGTGATGATAGTGATAGTGATGATGGTAGTGATAGTGATGATGGTGGTGATAGTGATGGTAGTGATAGTGATGATGATAGTGATAATGATAGTGATAATGATGATGATTGTGGTGATGATAATGATAGTGATGATAGTGATGATGGTGATGATGATGGTGATGATGATAATGATAGTGATGATAGTGATAGTGATGATAGTGATAATGATAGTGATAGTGATGATAGTGATAGTGATGATGGTAGTGATAGTGATGATGATGGTGATGGTGGTGATAGTGATGGTAGTGATAGTGATGATGATGATGATAGTGATAATGATAGTGATGGTGATAATGATGATGATAGTGGTGATGATGATGATAATGATAGTGATGATGATGATAGTGATGATGGTGGTGATGGTGATGATGATGGTGATGATGATAATGATAATGATAGTGATGATAGTGATAGTGGTGATGATAGTGATAATGATAGTGATGATAGTGATAGTGATGATGGTAGTGATAGTGATGATAGTGATGGTAGTGATAGTGATGATGATAGTGATAGTGATAATGATGATGATAGTGGTGATGATGATGATGATAGGGATGATGGTGGTGATGGTGATGATGATGATAATGATAGTGATGGTAGTGATAGTGATAGTGGTGATGATAGTGATAATGATAGTGATGATAGTGAGTGTGATGATGGTAGTGATAGTGATGATGATGGTGATGGTGGTGATAGTGATGGTAGTGATAGTGATGATGATAGTGATAGTGATAATGATAGTGATGGTGATAATGATGATGATAGTGGTGATGATGATGATGATAATGATAGTGATGATGATGATGATGGTGGTGATGGTGATGATGATGGTGATGATGATGATAATGATGGTAGTGATAGTAGTGATGATAGTGATAATGATAGTGATGATAGTGAGATAGTGATGATGGTAGTGATAGTGATGATGATGGTGATGGTGGTGATAGTGATGGTAGTGATAGTGATGATGATAGTGATAATGATAGTGATAATGATGATAGTGGTGATGATGATGATAATGATAGTGATGATGATGATGATAGTGATGATGGTGGTGATGGTGATGATGATGGTGATGATGATGATAATGATGGTAGTGATAGTGGTGATGATAGTGATAATGATAGTGATGATAGTGAGATAGTGATGATGGTAGTGATAGTGATGATGATGGCGATGGTGGTGATAGTGATGGTAGTGATAGTGATGATGATAGTGATAATGATAGTGATGGTGATAATGATGATAGTGGTGATGATGATGATAATGATAGTGATGATGATGATAGTGATGATGGTGGTGATGGTGATGATGATGATAATGATGATAGTGATGGTAGTGATGATGGTGGTGATGGTGATAATGATGGTGATGATGATGATAATGATAGTGATGGTAGTGATGATGGTGGTGATGGTGATGATGATGGTGATGATAATGATAGTGATGGTAGTGATGATGATGATAATAATGATAGTGATGGAGCTACTCACCACAGAAGAGATGTCCACAATTTGTTTCGATTGGGAACGAGGCTCTCAGAAGGCAGACTGGGCATGACACATCACCACCATCACCATCATCACCATCATCATCACCAGCATCACCACCAGCATCACCACCACCATCACTACCACGGTATCGGCCCTGCAAACATCAACAACACCATCAACACCATCACCAGCATCATCACCAGCAACACCATCACCAGCAACACCATCACCAGCACTACCATCACCACCATCACCATCACCACCATCACCACCATCACCATCACCACCACCAGCATCACCACCATCACCATCACCACCACCAGCATCACTACCACCATCACCACCATCATTACCATCATCACCAGCAACACCATCACCAGCACTACCATCACCACCATCACCACCACCAGCATCACCACCATCACCACCACCAGCATCACTACCACCACCACCACCATCACCACCATCACCACCATCACCACCATCACCACCACCAGCACCATCACCACCATCACCACCATCATTACCATCACCACCACCATCACCACCATCATTACCATCACCACCATCACTACCATCACCACCATCACTACCACCACCACCAACAACAACCGCCATTCACCACTAAGTGGCGGTGACGTCACCACGACGCTTGTGCCAGGCTATGTGCACCCTGAGGCTACCACGTGAAGTGTCGAACGCCCGCTGGCAGGAGGTCACGGGGCAGACCCAGGTGCCACGGGTCGACTGACTGAGATGACTGAGATGACTGGCTGGTGCACCACCTGTGCCCCCTACTGTGCCAACCCGCTGTGCTTTAGCCACCCGGCGCTCCGCTCGTTGTTTTGAGCGTCGCTCCTCCGCCCTCCGTTGTTGTTGGAGGGCGACTGCCTCCAACTGCCCAGTAGCGTCCTTCACGAGCCTCCTCCACAGAGGCCGATCTTGACACCGCTGGTACCAGTCATCGGCAAGTCCACTCAGCTCCACGTCCTCCTGTACCACATCACTCCATCTCTTCTCTAGCCCGTGCCACGCCCGTTTAGACCCCTCGATCCGGCCGAACAAAAGCTGTTTCGGCATGCGGTGGCTAGGCATGCGGGCTACATGACCCAGTCAACGCAGCCTTGCCTGCCGGAGGAGCTCACCGATGGGACCCTGCCCAGATCTTTCAAGAATTTGTGAGCTCCTTACACAATCCAGTCTGGTTAAACCCAGGATGGATCGTAGGCAGGCCAGCCTAAATGTTTCTTACCGGCGAAGATGTTCCACTAGGGGGGTCCACGTTTCGCAAGCGTAGAGAAGGGAGGGAATGACCGTGGCCAAGAAGACCTGAAGCTTAGTGCGGAGCGACAGACCAGGTAGCTTCCACACAGCGTTACGCAACCGATGAAAAGATATTGCCGCTCGACTGATTCGGAGTGAGACCTCTGCTGTTAAACTGGAGCTGGTCATAAGCACACTGCCCAGGTATGGGAAACTCTCCACTCTCTCCACAACTGCCCCATCACCAATTGGGAGTTGTGGGGGTGGAGTGTCCGATGGTACAAAATACCCAGGCAGGTGCTTAGTTTTGGTGGGGCTAATGGTAAGGCCCCAACTTTTAGTGGCATGCTCCAGTCTCAGCAGCAGCGTCTCCAACTCCTCCTCTGAATGAGCAGCTATTACCAAATCATCAGCATACATAACGTGGTTGAGCAATAGGGAGCCATCCTTTGACTGCACCCGGGCATCGATCAGCCTCCCATTATATCTGTACCATATGGAGATTCCCCCGGTACAGCTATTGAAGGCTTCACGAACTACGTGGTCAAAATAGATGTTAAATAATGTGGGAGCCAGAGGACATCCCTGTCGCACCCCAAGGTGTACAGGGAATGGCTCTGACTCCCGGCCACGTAGTTTTACCCAGGCCTGCTCACCATCATGAAGGTCCTTAATGATCGTGAGCAGAGGGTCAGGTACTCCAAAAGCACGAAGAACGACCCAGAGCCCAGGCCTACTGATGGTATCATAGGCCTTGACCAGGTCAATAAAGCAGAGATGTAGGTCCTGTTGGAATTCCTTACACCTCTGCTGTAGCAGACAGACAGAAAATATGGCATCTGTGCAGGACCGCTCTTTCCTGAAACCGCATTGGGGCTCCGCAAGCCTCTCCTCAGGGTGCCTGGCTAGACGATGTTGAATAATCCTTGCCAGGACCTTTCCCGGCACACTGAGGAGTGAGATGCCCCTGTAGTTGTTACAGTCTGTGCGGTCCCCCTTCTTAAAAAGGGGGACCACCAGGGCATCCTTCCAATCCTGCGGAACCCGTCCAGTGGTCCAGACTGTTGTTATGATGTCATATAGAGCAGTCTGTGCACAAACGCCACCCTCCCTCAGCATTTCGCTTGGGAGATCATCTCTGCCCGGTGCCTTTCCTGGTCTCAGACTCCGGATCGCCTTCAGTACTTCCTCAGCAGATGGCACCTCAGCCAGCTACTCACAGGGGGTGACTTCTTCCAATATTTGAGGCACCGCAGCCTCAGCAGGGTCATCCTCACTTTGTGCCACGATGTTTTCCTGGCTGAGGGATTTTCCCTCCCCCAGGACCTCACATAAATGCTCAGCAAATCTGCAAACCTGTTCCTGGGGGTCGGAGATTGGTTCCCGTTTTTTCCCCTAATGATGGTAATAGGTGTGGCGCTGCAGGTTACTTTTTTGATGGAGTTAAATAGAGATTTGTGATCACGGGCCACTGAGGCAGACTCCATCTCCTCAGCAACCCGCGACCACCACCCATCCTTGCAGCGCCTCACGGCTCTCCGAACCTCCGAGCGAAGGCTTTGGTAAGCCTCATTCTCTGACGTGGGATTCTGTAGCTGATGACAGTGGGCCTGTCACTTTTTCTCAACCATCCTGAACACCTCCTCTGTCATCCAGGGTCTCTGGGGAGGTCTGGACCGCGTACCCAAAGCAACCATTGCAGCTGCATGAGCCACAGTCCTAAACCTCGCCCATTTACCCTCGACATCAGGAGGAGTGGGGGACGATGCCAACCCCAGCCGCAAGCGGATGAAATTCTCGCTTGCAACTTTCATCAGATAACTGAGACCACTGATGGTATCATAGGCCTTGACCAGGTCAATAAAGCAGAGATGTAGGTCCTGTTGGAATTCCTTACACCTCTGCTGTAGCAGACGGACAGAAAATATGGCATCTGTGCAGGACCGCTCTTTCCTGAAACCGCATTGGGGCTCCGCAAGCCTCTCCTCAGCGTGCCTGGCAAGGCGATGTTGAATAATCATTGCCAGGACCTTTCCCGGCACACTGAGGAGTGAGATGTCCCTGTAGGTTGTTACAGTCTGTGCGGTCCCCCTTCTTAAAGAGGGGGACCACCAGGGCATCCTTCCAATCCTGCGGAACCCGTCCAGTGGTCCAGACTGTTGTTATGATGTCATATAGGGCAGTCTGTGCACAAACGCCACCCTCCCTCAGCATTTTGCTTGGGAGATCATCTCTGCCCGGTGCCTTTCCTGGTCTCAGACTCCGGATCGCCTTCAGTACTTCCTCAGCAGATGGCACCTCAGCCAGCTACTCACAGGGGGTGACTTCTTCCAATATTTGAGGCACCGCAGCCTCAGCAGGATCATCCTCACTTTGTGCCACGATGTTTTCCTGGCTGAGGGATTTTCCCTTCCCCAGGACCTCACAGAAATGCTCAGCAAATTGGCAAACCTGTTCCTGGGGGTCGGAGATTGGATCACCGTTTTTTCCCCTAATGATGGTAATAGGTGTGGCGCTGCAGGTTATTTTTTTGATGGAGTTAAATAGAGATTTGTGATCACGGGCCACTGAGGCAGACTCCATCTCCTCAGCAACCCGCGACCACCACCCATCCTTGCAGCACCTCACGGCTCTCCGAACCTCCGAGCGAAGGCTTCGGTAAGCCTCATTCTCTGACGTGGGATTCTGTAGCCGTTGACAGTGGGCCTGTCACTTTTTCTCAACCATCCTGAACACCTCCTCTGTCAGCCAGGGTCTCTGGGGAGGTCTGGACCGCATACCCAAAGCAACCATTGCAGCTGCATGAGCCACAGTCCTAAACCTCGCCCATTTACCCTCGACATCAGGAGTTGGGGACGATGCCAACCCCAGCCGCAAGCGATGATGAAATTCTCGCTTGCAACTTTCATCAGATAACTGAGACCAGGCCATTTTAGGTTGGAATGGGGTCCAGGGTGTACACCCACCACCGGAGTGGAAGAATGACAGGCGCATCTTACAGATGACTAGTCGATGGTCAGAGGGCAGATCAGCTCCACGGTAGGTCCTGGTGTCAAGGACATGGGCTCGCATCCGCTGGTCCGTCACTATGTAGTCCAGCAGATGTTCTTGCTTGGACCCGGCATGCATCCATGATGTTGTGTGGATGCGCCGATGCCGGAACAGCGTGTTGGTAATTACAAGCCCATGGGCTGCACAAAAATCTAGCAGCCTCCTACCGTTGTTATTGAGCTGATCTGGCCCATGCCCTCCAATCACTCCAGACCAGGTGCCAGCATCATGACCAACTCGGGCATTGAAGTCACCCAACAAGATGCCTCTATCCCGAGGGGCTACTTTAGCCAGCACCTGTGACAGGAGGTCATAGAAGGCATCTGACTCATCGGCCTTGCCTGCATCCCTCCACGGATGTTCATCTTCAGTGGTGGCATAAGTAACCACGACCACCATTCCTCGCCTCCGGTTGATGGGAAGGCGAGCCCAAAGTAGCCTGGGGCTTACAGCTTCCCACACCTCACCGCCACGCTCCCACGCCCCCTTCATTCTTTTGTTCAGAAGAAGAGCCACACCCTGTTGTTTGGCAGTCTGCTGCCCCGAGTAGAGGACTGTCCACCCCTCATGGTGGCAGGAGCCAGAGCCGGTCCACCGGATCTCCTGAATGCCGCATAGATCCAGGCGGTACCGGTCCAGCTCCCGACAGAGGAGTGGCAGCCTCTCCTCCGCAGTGAGCGTTCGAACATTCCACGTGGCCACCCGTAGTGGCTTTTCGTTGTTTCTGGAGGAGCCCCGAGGGTAGAGATTCAATCTCCTCGCTCCGCCAATTGGGGTTTGGCCAGGAGACGTCATAGACGCCTGGCCCCCCAGGGCCTCCGGCACAAGCTTATTAGTTAGATATTTAATTTGTGGTTTAGTGGTAATTGGTGGAGGGGTTACCAGCCCCTCGCACCCGTCCAGAGCCCCCGTTTAGCCACTGTGGTGGTCACAGACGCCATGAGGGGAGGAGCCAATCGGAATTGGCCCTCCCTCCACAGCATTGTCCACGACAGAGTTGACCGTCCGGCACCGCGAGGAGGTTGGGGGTTGTTTTGCCGGACACACCATCACCACCACCATCACCACCATCACCACCATCACCACCATCACCACCATCACCACCACCATCACCACTATCACCACCACCATCACCACCACCATCACCACCACCATCACCACCACCATCACCACCATCACCACCATCACCACCATCACCATCACTCACCACGTGGTTCTGTCTCAGCTGGGAAATTCTTTCCCGATTGTCCGGATGGATTTCATGGATTGCAGTCCTGGAACATCACCAACATCAACATCAACAACATCAACAACATCACCAACATCAACATCAACAACATCAACAACATCACCAACATCACCAACATCAACAACATCAATAACATCAACACCACCAACATCACCAACATCACCAACATCAACAACATCATGTGGGTGGGTGAGTGAGTGGGTGAGTGAGTGAGTGGGTGAGTGAGTGAGTGGGTGAGTGAGTGGGTGGGTGAGTGGGTGAGTGAGTGAGTGGGTGGGTGAGTGGGTGGGTGAGTAAGTGGGTGAGTGAGTGGGTGAGTGAGTGGGTGAGTGAGTGGGTGAGTGAGTGGGTGGGTGAGCGGGTGAGTGACTGAGTGACTGACTGAGTGACTGACTGAATGCCTGAGTGAGTGACTGACTAAGTGACTGAGTGACTGACTGACTGTCTCACTGTCTGACTTGTCTGAGTGACTGACTGTCTGAATGAGTGACTGACTGTCGCACTAACTGTCTGACTGAGTGACTGACTGACTTGTCTGAGTGACTGAGTGACTGAGTGTTTCACTGACTGTCTGAGTGACTGACTGAGTGACTGACTGACTGTCTCACTGACTGTTTGTCTGAGTGACTTACTGAGTGTCTCACTGTCTGAGTGAGTGACTGAATGAGTGACTGTCCCACTGACTGTCTGAGTGAGTGACTGAGTGTCTAAGTAACTGAGTGAGCGACTGACTGTCTAAGTAACTATCTGTCTAAGTGACCTGTCTAAGTGACTGTCTAAGTGACTGAGTGACCTGTCTAAGTGACTTGTCTAAGTGACTTGTCTGAGTGTCTGAGTGAGTGTCTAAGTGTGTGAGTGTCTGAGTGAGTGTCTGAGTGAGTGTCTAAGTGTCTGAGTGAGTGTCTAAGTGTCTGAGTGTCTGAGTGAGTGTCTAAGTGTGTAAGTGTCTGAGTGTCTGAGTGAGTGTCTAAGTGTGTAAGTGTGTGAGTGTCTGAGTGAGTGTCTGAGTGAGTGTCTAAGTGTCTAAGTGTCTGAGTGAGTGTCTAAGTGTCTGAGTGTCTGAGTGAGTGTCTAAGTGTGTAAGTGTGTGAGTGTCTGAGTGAGTGTCTGAGTGAGTGTGTAAGTGTGTGAGTGTCTGAGTGAGTGTCTGAGTGAGTGTGTAAGTGTCTGAGTGAGTGTCTAAGTGTGTAAGTGTGTGAGTGTCTGAGTGAGTGTCTGAGTGAGTGTGTAAGTGTCTGAGTGTCTGAGTGAGTGTCTAAGTGTGTAAGTGTGTGAGTGTCTGAGTGAGTGTCTGAGTGAGTGTCTGAGTGTCTAAGTGAGTGTCTAAGTGACTTGTCTAAGTGACTTGTCTAAGTGACCTGTCGCGGCGTTGCCCCACCACCACGAGGTACGCGCCGGCGATGGCTGCGAGCGCCGCCGTGACGAGGATCAGTCCCAAAACGTCGTCGTCAAACCCTGCCAGCAGTGGTGAGGGAGGAGGTGGTGAGGGAGACTCCATTACTCGAGATTTACGTTGGAATCGATTCGATTTGTATTTTTTTTAATTTAAAAAAATTTGGAATCGATTCCGGAAAAGAGAACCGGGGGGGTGGGTGGTGGTGGGGGGGGGGAATCGCATCGCTGTTGAATCGATGTTGATTTAGGGCGGGGGAATCTAGTTCGGAGATTTTTTTACGGGTTTGAAGGATGGATCGTTTCGCTTTTAATCGATAGCAACTGAGAGTGAATCGATTTTGGAGGTTAACTGACGGGGTTTTGGAATCGATTATTTGATGCTGGCAGAGAGGGAATCGATTCAAGAGGTAAATGGGTGGGGGAAGGAATCGATTTGCTGTTGATCGATTCTTATAGAAATGGAATCGTTTCAGGAGGTATAGTCGTAACCGATACGTTGAATCGATTCCACCTTCATGGAATTCAATGTAGGAAGGGGAATCGTTGTTGGGGAGTTCAGGTTTGGAATCGAGGAATCGATTTTGTGTGTCTGTGTGTCTGTGTGTGTCTGTGTCTATCTGTGTGTGTCTATCTGTGTGTCTATCTGTGTGAGTCTGTGTGTGTGTCTGTGTGTGTGTCTATCTGTGTGTGTCTATCTGTGTGTGTCTGTGTCTATCTGTGTGTGTCTATCTGTGTCTATCTGTGTGTGTCTGTGTGTCTATCTGTGTGTGTCTATCTGTGTGTCTATCTGTGTGTCTATCTGTTTGTGTGTCTGTGTGTGTCTATCTGTGTGTCTATCTGCGTGCGTGTCTGTTGTCCGGCAAAAACAACCCCCTACCTCCTCGCGGTGCCGGACAAGGCAACTCTGTCGTGGACAGTGCTGTGGGGGGAGAGGTCCAATTGTGATTGGCTCCTCCTCTCATGGCGTCTGTGTCCACCACAGGGGCTAAACGGGGGCTCTGGACGGGTGCGAGGGGCTGGTAACCCCTCCACCTTCAATTAATTACCACTAGACCACGAGTTAAACTGAAATATCTAACTAATAAGCTTGTGCCGGAGGCCCCGAGGGGCCAGGCGTCTGTGACGTCTCCTGGCCAAACCCCAATTGGCGGAGCCACGAGATTTAAAGATTGAATCTCAACCCTCGGGGCTACTCCCATCGGACCCGCACGCCGATGGGCTGGAGGTCAACAAAGCCGCAATTAATCGCAGTGACCAGTTCCACTTGTGATGGTGTGAAATCCCCTTTGACTAAACTTTTCAGTCACACCGTAGACAAAGACAAAGATACAAAGATCCCCCGTGTAGCCTGTAACAGACTGTAGGGGCAAGTGCTGGTTAGCGAGCACCGCCTATGAAGGCCGGAACGGTACACGAGGGGGTGGGTGGCACAGCAACCACGCCCGACCGCCTTTGTCTCCCCAGTGGCGATGTTTACTACACACCGCTACACCAGGTACTCATTTGAGGCTGAGTCGACCTAGGGGAGGCCCGGGACCGGTTGAGATAATCGTCACTGGTGGTGTTGGCCGTGAGCGGGAATCGAACCCGGGTCGCCAGGTTCATAGCGCAGCGTAGCGCTAACCACTACACTCACTCACCCACCCACCCACTCACCCACCCACCCACCCACTCACACACCCACCCACTCACACACCCACCCACCCACTCACACACCCACCCACCCACTCACACACCCACCCACCCACTCACACACCCACCCACCCACTCACACACCCACCCACCCACCCACTCACCCACTCACACACCCACCCCCGGTTCAGATAATCGTCACTGGTGTTGGCCGTGAGCGGGAATCGAACCCGGGTCGCCAGGTTCATAGCGCAGCGTAGCGCTAACCGCTACAATATCGCTCCCCATTCACACCGTAGACACACACACAGACACACGCCGGTCAATGACATCCTTGGCCGTCTTCTTAAGCTCTTTCGGCAAAAAGTCACGTTGAAGGGAAACAATAAAATAATAAAATATAAATATGTAAAACAATCTTCTTTGGTTCTTTCGGTAAAGTCACCACCACGTAGAATGAGAATAAAATAATAAATTGATAAAATAAAATAACAATAATATTGTATAATAAAATAATAAATTGATAAACTAAAATAACACAATAATATTGTATAATAAAATAATACATTAATAAAATAATAAATTGATAAAATAAAATAACACAATAATATTGTATAATAAAATAATAAATTGATAAACTAAAATAACACAATAATATTGTATAATAAAATAATAAATTGATAAAATAATAAATTTATAAAATTAAATAACACAATAAAATTCTCACGACGTTTCGGCCACAACACAAGTGGCCTTCATCAGGTGAAGGGACGAGACTGTCTGGTAGGACAGCGCTGGAGTGAAAAAAGCCACAAGCTCAGATCGCGGCCTTTAAGCTGTGTGAGAGGAAACAAAGCGCCTTGACAAAGGAAATTAGCGTAGAATTTAGCATTGAAATAGCTGAGTGATTAGCTTGTGACTGGTCACAGAAATGGCTATGTTAAAGTCAAAGCCTACACATTCACAGAGGCACCTAGTACAAATCAAACAGGAGAATTTAGCATTGAAATAGCTGAGTGATTAGCTTGTGACTGGTCACAGAAATGGCTATGTTAAAGTCAAAGCATACACATCCACAGAGGCACCTAGTACAAATCAAACAGGAGAATTTAGCATTGAAATAGCTGAGTGATCAGCTTGTGACTGGTCACAGAAATGGCTATGTTAAAGTCAAAGCATACACATTCACAGAGGCACCTAGTACAAATCAAACAGGAGAATTTAGCATTGAAATAGCTGAGTGATTAGCTTGTGACTGGTCACAGAAATGGCTATGTTAAAGTCAAAGCATACACATCCACAGAGGCACCTAGTACAAATCAAACAGGAGAATTTAGCATTGAAATAGCTGAGTGATCAGCTTGTGACTGGTCACAGAAATGGCTATGTTAAAGTCAAAGCATACACATTCACAGAGGCACCTAGTACAAATCAAACAGGGGAATTTAGCATTGAAATGGCTAAGTGATTAGCTTGTGACTGGTCACAGAAATGGCTATGTTAAAGTCAAAGCCTACACATCCACAGAGGCACCTAGTACAAATCAAACAGGAGAATTTAGCATTGAAATAGCTGAGTGATTAGCTTGTGACTGGTCACAGAAATAGCTAAATTCTATGCTAATTCCTTTGTCAAGGGGTGCCTCTGCGGATGTGTACGCTTTGACTTTAACATAGCTATTTCTGTGACCAGTCACAAGCTAATCACTCAGCTGTTTCAATGCTAAATTCTATGCTAATTCCTTTGTCAAGGGGTGCCTCTGTGGATGTGTATACTTTAACTTAGCTATTTCAATGAGCCATTTCAATGCTAAATTCTATGCTAATTCCTTTGTCAAGGTGTACCTCTGCGGATGTGTATACTTTAACTTAGCTATTTCAATGAGCCATTTCAATGCTAAATTCTCTGCTAATTCCTTTGTCAAGGGGTGCCTCTGTGGATGTGTATACTTTAACTTAGCTATTTCAATGAGCCATTTCAATGCTAAATTCTATGCTAATTCGTTTGTCAAGGGGTACCTCTGCGGATGTGTATACTTTAACTTAGCTATTTCAATGCGCCATTTCAATGCTAAATTCTATGCTAATTCCTTTGTCAAGGGGTGCCTCTGTGGATGTGTATACTTTAACTTAGCTATTTCAATGCGCCATTTCAATGCTAAATTCTATGCTAATTCCTTTGTCAAGGGGTGCCTCTGTGGATGTGTATACTTTAACTTAGCTATTTCAATGCGCCATTTCAATGCTAAATTCTATGCTAATTCCTTTGTCAAGGTGTACCTCTGCGGATGTGTATACTTTAACTTAGCTATTTCAATGAGCCATTTCAATGCTAAATTCTATGTATAATTCCTTTGTCAAGGGGTGCCTCTGTGGATGTGTATACTTTAACTTAGCTATTTCAATGAGCCATTTCAATGCTAAATTCTATGTATAATTCCTTTGTCAAGGGGTGCCTCTGTGGATGTGTATACTTTAACTTAGCTATTTCAATGCGCCATTTCAATGCTAAATTCTATGCTAATTCCTTTGTCAAGGGGTGCCTCTGTGGATGTGTATACTTTAACTTAGCTATTTCAATCAGCCATTTCAATGCTAAATTCTATGCTAATTCCTTTGTCAAGGTGTGCCTCTGTGGATGTGTATACTTTAACTTAGCTATTTCAATGCGCCATTTCAATGCTAAATTCTATGTATAATTCCTTTGTCAAGGGGTGCCTCTGTGGATGTGTATACTTTAACTTAGCTATTTCAATGCGCCATTTCAATGCTAAATTCTATGCTAATTCCTTTGTCAAGGGGTGCCTCTGTGGATGTGTATACTTTAACTTAGCTATTTCAATGAGCCATTTCAATGCTAAATTCTATGTATAATTCCTTTGTCAAGGGGTACCTCTGCGGATGTGTATACTTTAACTTAGCTATTTCAATGCGCCATTTCAATGCTAAATTCTATGCTAATTCCTTTGTCAAGGGGTGCCTCTGTGGATGTGTATACTTTAACTTAGCTATTTCAATGCGCCATTTCAATGCTAAATTATATGCTAATTCGTTTGTCAAGGGGTACCTCTGTGGATGTGTATACTTTAACTTAGCTATTTCAATGCGCCATTTCAATGCTAAATTATATGTATAATTCCTTTGTCAAGGGGTGCCTCTGTGGATGTGTATACTTTAACTTAGCTATTTCAATGCGCCATTTCAATGCTAAATTCTATGCTAATTCCTTTGTCAAGGGGTGCCTCTGTGGATGTGTATACTTTAACTTAGCTATTTCAATGAGCCATTTCAATGCTAAATTCTACGCTAATTCCTTTGTCAAGGTGTGCCTCTGTGGATGTGTATACTTTAACTTAGCTATTTCAATGCGCCATTTCAATGCTAAATTATATGCTAATTCGTTTGTCAAGGGGTACCTCTGTGGATGTGTATACTTTAACTTAGCTATTTCAATGCGCCATTTCAATGCTAAATTATATGCTAATTCCTTTGTCAAGGGG